ATTAAAGTTGAGAAAGTAAAGTAAAGGACTGTCATGTGCCACAGATGGTCAAGTCAGAAACAGACTATAGTTAGTCAAAATTTGTTTAGCTCAAACACAAGATTAGTTTAGCTGAAACAGACTATACACAAAACTCCTAACACGTCCGGCTGTATATATATAAATCTGGAGCTGGCCGTGACTCCTAACACCTAAAGCTCGCGAGGAAGTTAAACCCCTAGAACTTCATGCAGCACGAACAAAGCATAACCCCCTGCGCAATACCCACACAGTGGTAAGTTATATTGAGACCTGACCAAGACCATTTGGGGTCTTCAGTTCTTTGAGTGAGGATTTCAGTTCTTGAGGTCTGCAGTTCTTCGAGTGAGGACTTCAGTGCTTGGGGACTTCAGCTCTTGAGGGATTCAGTTCTTGAGGTCTGCAGTTTTGCAGTTCTTCGAGTGAGAACTTCAGTTCTTGAGGTCTGCAGTTCTTGAGTTCTTCTAAGATTGTCGTCGGTTCTTCGAGTGAGAGCTTCAGTTCTTGAGGTCTGCAGTTCTTGAGTTCTTCTAAGATTGTCGTCGGTTCTTCGAGTGAGAGCTTCAGTTCTTGAGGTCTGCAGTTCTTCTAAGATTTGTCGTCAGTTCTTCAGTTCAAATTAATGGAAGGCTTATGTTGGAGATGATCATTAGCGAGTGAAATGCATGCAATTTGATTTTCAGGAAGGTTTCTGCTAATTAACTGTGAGCACGCTGAATGTTTGCTTTGAATCAATGATTTTTTTTACATGAAAAGATGAGCTGAGCTTCTGGAAGATGTGTAACAAAGGGAGGGGATGGGGGTAGGGGAGACATTTAATCAGGCTGCAGCTGGTAATATTAGCACACCCTCTATTTATGGCTACTGACGAAGGAGACAGAGCACATATGGGAATGTCCCAAGTGCAGTTATATTGATTTTTGATTTTCAGTTATTTCAGTTCTTGATTAATTTATCCCATTCAACATTAATCGATTTCCTTAATCATTTGTTTTCAATTGCCCTCAACTTTTATTCAATGTTTTTAGTAGTTTTCCAACTGTCACACATTTGAAAAAACAGAATTAAAATACATAATTTGGTTTAAAAACTGTAATTTAGAGACCAGTATTGAAGTATATGTTCACTGCTTCTTATTTGTGGCGTCTTCTTCTTCAGCATTTCAAGCCATTGAGGTTCATTGCTGCAGATATCATTCGCCTCCATTTCTATCTCTCATTGGCCTTCTCTTTCCAGTTTGTGACATAAATGTTTGTAAGTCTGCCTGGATGTTATCTCACCATTGTCTTCTTGGTCTGCCTCATGGCCTATGACCATTCCACTTCTTTGTCAAACCAGTTTCTCTTTCATTTTCCCAGTTTGCCCCAGCTATATCTCAAAAACGTTTTGCCTTTTCAGATACTGGATGTACATATTTGTGTAATTTTTTTTTTTTTTTAAATCTTGCAATATATTATTATTGTAAACTATATGTAGTCATCAACATGTAGAAGGTCCTTTGAAGACCCTTATCACGGTCTGCCTGAAAGAAATTCAGTCTCTCGCCAGCTCCCCTGCCTAATGTACTTTCATATTCAAGGAGTCACTTATATCTTGTGCCCATCTTCGTGTTGGCCGGCTCCTGACCCTCCTTTCTGTTACCATGCCTTCTGCAATAATTTTTTTTTTCAGTCTTCCTTGGCACTTGATATGACCAAAATATTTCAGCTTCCAACACAAGATGCTGTTTATTAGCCAATCTTCCTTGATGTTCAGACCTTTAAAAATGTCAGTATTTCTCCTCTTTTTTTGTCCATGATATTCTGAGAATCTTTCTATAGCATTGAAGCTCAAAAGCCCCTATTTACTTCCATTAGGATTGTGAGATGGTCCACGACTTACATCCGTACATTGCTACAGAAAAGATGCATGTTCTTACAATTTAAATCTCCTTGTTGGTGCTTAACCATTGACTATTAATGCTGTTTAATCTTTGCATTGCTACGGCATCCTCCTCTTGATGTCTGTCAGTCTCCATTGCTATTTACTATAGAGCCTCGATATTCAAAGTTTGTGACATTTTCAATTTCTACATCACTTATTGTTATTTTTTGGTTGACAGCCAGATTTGTCTGTGGACATTATATTTAGTATTACAAGTGTCAATTGCAGCGTCCGTGGCTTAGGCGTTGCGAGTCCGACTCGTAATTCCAATGTACAGCTATCAAAACCCACTGCTGACTGAGTGGATTTTATCGTGGTATGGAACGTCGCATGTCGACCCAACCTAAAATGGGTACCAGGATGTATGTCCTGGGAAAGTAAAGACGGCCGGCGTAATACTGACCACATTACCCACCTAGCGCCAAATGGTCTGTAAAAATATGGGTGATTTTGCCATATGCCCGATGCGCCTAAAGGCGTGAAAAGGGATCTTTACTTTACTTGTTACAAGTGTCAATTATAATTAGCTTTTCAATAAGTGTGACAAATGGTGTTATCTATGTGTATATTCAAAATCTCTTCATGTCTCAAAGATATGGTTTTACACAAAAAGCCTCCAAATTTATTGCACAGCCAAAAAGAGCAATTTATATGTTCTAAAAAAGGCGAGGGCCCGATGACAACATATCAAAAATATCAGAAAGAGGCAGTGGTCGTTTTTTGGGGTTATGTTATGAGAAGAAGCAAACTGGAACATCTTGTGACCATTGGAAAGATCTGTGTTAAGAAAGAGACAGGAAGACAGTGCAAGATAATCAATGACATCATTTTGTCATGGCATGCAGGGTGTCAGCACATGAACTGATACATGCTGTTAAAGATTGCAGATTGTGGAGAGACATGATCGGCAAAGGACTTTATGATATTTAAAATGAGTTATTGATAGTAAATTATTATTTTGCTTAGCAGTTTAATCTTTTTTTTTTTTCTCATATGTGATTTTGTTTGATTTTTTTTTAAAATCTTACCATGTTTAACCCTACTGAAAACAGTATTACATTTTAAACACATTTTTTGGTGAGTGACCTGTTTAAAAAACTGTTGTTTTAAGAGATTTGGGCCATAACAACTGATTGTAATAAATGTACTGTCACAAAAACAAAAGAGAAAGCATGATAGAACACACTGAGATAAGTTTTGGCCCAACAAATAAACAGCACATTATATGAGATTTTAATAAATTTTTTTTTACATTCTGATGTTCATAGATGGTTCAGAGGCAATGTTCAAAAGTGTAAAGTCTCTGAGATAGAACTGAAACACCCAATATTCATGTAGAGGGAAAATGGAGAAGAGGCAGACCAAGAAAAGCTTGGATACAACATTTTTCTGACTGGACTGGCTTGAATAAAAGCGCAAACATCAAGTCCATTGCATCTGACCAACTGAGGTGTCGGGGAAGTAATCAGATAGTCAACAACAATTCGTGACCCAATGACATGCGCTGTTGTGGGCAGGTGATGATAACCTGTCTATAAAACTAGTTTATTAGCAACAAAGTCTACCTCTATCCAATATAAAAAGAAATACCAAACTTCACTCAGATGCAGGTAATTTGGCAACAGACTGCTTTGCATTGATTTTGACAATGTGAAAGAGGATCTATTATTTGGTGAGCAATAAAATAGCTGATCTCAACAGTTATAAGACAAAGATGGTGGTAAAATAATGGGCACACCCTGAGGCAACAACAACAAGTAATTACAAAACAGGCACCGAAATAGGAAACATATGGACTGAGGAAGCAAGAACACACAAGAGAAACCCTATGATGAATGCTGAGGAGAAAACAAAGATGCTGGACTGGATTCCATCCACAATAACAAAAAGATTTCATGACACAGACTGGAATGGAGGAATAGGCTGTGAGCCTTATGGGACATAAAAATGGCACATTAAATGAGGTTTCTTTCCGAGCTAACCAACATTCTTAACTTAGTATATTTTCAGGAAGATAAAGACAAGGGAAACCACCAAAGGACACCCGACTCTCTGAAACATTGCATGAAAAAGGACCAACACTCGGGGATTTCAGTCTCTCTGATGCCACCCCTGCCTCAACACCACATGTGCTTAAACAAAGCTTCACATATTTTCAGTCTCTCTGATGCCACCCCTGCCTCAACACCACATGTGCTTAAACAATGCTTCACATATTTTCAGTCTCTCTGATGCCACCCCTGCCTCAACACCACATGTGCTTAAACAAAGCTTCACATATTTTCAGTCTTATTTTAGAACAGGGAACCTCAACCCTCCAGAAGCACCAGCGTCGGGAACCCAACTCACTCAAGCTATCTATCACTCTCACGACCTCACTATCAAATCTCTTGGCACATTCAAGCAATCAGTCTTTTTTTTTTGCAATTCCACTACTTCTCAACCTTCTGTGGGGTGGAAAAAAGGGGCTGATCACAACAACAGATTGTGACGGCCTTGGTTGTCCTGAAAAGGAACAGTGTATGGAGACAGTGGTTTGTGGTATTTGTTCGGCTTTTACCCGCTGCCTCACAGAGTGGTAACCCAGCCTGGCAATAGGGCACCAGCGCAGCGACCACCACAGGTTAAACCAAGCTCCAGTAACAGTCAGCAAAAACCCACTGAGATAGGAGTTAAATAAAGCCGGACCAGACCCAGGACCCTATATTCCACACCAGACTTAAGACTTTGAAAAAAAAAAAAGGAATATAAGGTGTGACTTCACGCAACAAATAAAAGGACATAAAATAAGACAACCAAGGAATCTTTCTTCATATAGTAGGCCTTCCGGCGGCTGAAAAAGGATCAAGTTTGGAATTTGTGTTTATTAAATCAGAATCTGATGTTTCTCTCTCAAATCCTTTCAAACAAAACATATTGATCGCTGACTATAAACCATTGTAAGCTGCTAACTTAAACAAACTACATTTTCCCAAGATGATTTCAAACAAGACGGACACCATCTCCCAAATTTCATGTAAATATTTCAAAATCCCCCCCCCCCTTTTTCCGTTAAAAAACTATCCACATCCTTCTTCCTTCAACTTCTTCATCATGTCCTGAATCAGCCTTTGTGTGCAGACACTTGGCATGATCATGTGGTCCTCTTCGGAGTCACTAGAATTGCTTTCATTTTCTGTGCTGCTGTCACTGTCTGCATAGTCAGCAATGCCTGGAAGTATCCCTGCTACCACCATTGGGGTCCGTGTGTTTCTGGGGATCCCAGCCATCAGTTTGGCATCTGGAGGTTCGTCTTGTGATGCTGACGGAAAAGATGTAAAGATTAATATTAAAGAAACAAATCAACTGTCTTTACTTCTATGACAACATTATGGGGATAGTTCCCCCTACCCTTCACCCTTTTCCCCCCAAAGAGGCAGGGACAGACCAGCATGATGACGGACAAAGATTATCAAGAGCACCCAAGGCTTAGAACTTCACATGACAGGAAAGCTGGCTGGGAATAAGTTACCCATTATCATTAACTAGCATGTGGTAACATGCAACCAATTAAGGGTCTTATAAAAAGAATGTGTCGTGTCGAAACGTGCAAGTATTGTAGCCTAACTGTAAACCACAACATAATATACTTTTTCTTCTTCTGCCTTTCTATCCCCCAATGGAGCATAGGCCCTAAACCAACTCACGCCAACTCGTTCTATCCTTCGCCATTGCATGGAGCTATGTCCTTCCCATTTTTCTAACTTCATTCTCCAGCTCTCTTCTCCATGTGTTTTTTTGGCCTTTCTTTATTCCTATACTCCTGTGGGTTCCAATGCAAAGACATTCTAGTTATGCTGTTCTCCTGTATTCTCAGTGTGTGTCCTATCCAACACCAGCGTCTTTTCCTCACCTCTTGGTGCACTGGAGCCTGTTTAGTTCTCTCCCAAAGTTCTACATTAGTTATTCTATCATACCATTTTATTCCCTCTATTCTGGGCAGGACCAGTTAATGAATGCCTGTAATTTATTAGTAACTGCCTTGGTTGTTCTCCATGTTTCCGCCCCATACAAAAGTACTGATTTGACCTTAGAATTAAACATTTTTAGTTTAGTATTTCTTTTAATTTCTTTTGACCTCCACAAATTCCCTAGTGCTATGAAAGCCCCTCTTGCCTTTTGTATTCTCATTTTAATATCTCTATCAGTTCCTCCATCTTTATCTACATTACTGCCTAAATATGTGTACGACTCCCGGTCTTGGAGTGGGGTGCTATTAAGAGAAACCACGCTACTATTTGCCTGATTTATTCTCATTATCTTTGTCTTTCCTTTGTGGATTTTCAGACCAAGCTGCTGTGATCTTGCATCAAGTATATTTAATTTATCCTGCATCTGATTCCCTGAATGGGACAGAAGAGCAATATCATCAGCGAAGTCCGGATCATCAAGCTGTTTTGTAGGGGTCCACAGAATTCCATTATATACTAACCAACCTTATAAGGGCAAATGCAGAAAAATTCACTAGAATACAAATATTTTAGATTTATTCTGCAATACATTTTCACCAGTTTTGATTTTTTAAAGATTTGCCATGTTGCAGTTAAAAAAATTATGCTCAAAATTAATGCAGTCCAAACCCCAGAAAAAATGTGGTCCTGAAAGAGTTCAGCTTAACAGAATAATGTAAAATGATATGTGAACAGAAAATATCACAGGGAACATATTTATTTTTGTCAAAGCTAGAATATGTTTTAGTGTGTAGTTTTAAATAATAAGGAAAATGTATCTAATAGTGAAAATATGCAAATTTTAAGTGACAAAAAAAAAAAAACCATAAAACGAAAATAAGTGAGCTAAAGAGAGAAACAGAAATATCAAGGAGAGATCAACAGAGAAACGGTGGTATACGGAGGAAAAAGGGGGAGGGAGTTTGAGAGGGGAGAGAGAGAGAACCAAGAGAGATTAACAGAGAGAGACATTATATGAGATCTAGCAACAGAGACAACTAAAATTAAGTGGTTTATAACTTGCCTTCTCCTTCAATTCGCATGCACTTCTCTTCAGTCTCGCATTTATTATCAGAGCTGTAAAGACATAAGTAAAAAAAAACCTGAAACAACCTCAATAAAGCAAACTCTCTACTGTCTAAACAAGCAAAAAAACTAACTACTATGGTTAAAATATGGGGTCGACTGCAGTCAAGCTTATACAAGGAATTCCAGAGAAATTTGACTAAAAAGCTCAACAAAATGGGGAAGCAGAAAAACGTGATCAAAACAACACAACCTAATGTTTTGGCCAGACAGCCTTTGTCAAACATAAGTGAACTACACAAACGTAACGAGGATAGGAGAGCATGTAGATCTCTAAGGGGTGACATGAGCAACACAGCGTCAGACTATCTTGAAAGTTTATTACACCTGGTGAGGTAGTGCGTTGGAGAACCTTGACAACCAACACCTGTAATCTGCCAAGGAAAGGTTGCCAACCCCAGGCCTAATTCTAGCCAATTTCTATGTAACTGTCTTTATTACTTTTCATAGGGGTTGTGTAGGACAGAGGAGCTGCTGGCAAAACAGTTAGGAAGCTGGGCTTCTCAAGCGGAAGACCCTGGTTCAAATCCTTGGTACGGCTGGGGATTTAATGTTGGTGGCAAAAATAATATGCAAACCTGCAGTCCGTGGCGACAGCAATATCTATGCGGCGCTAAGTCCTGACGCTCAAAGACCCCTACACCAAGGAAGTGGTAAACACAAGCAGTAATGGTAGTTTGTGAGTGTGTGTGTGTGTGCATGTGTAGGACAGGGGGTTCATGAGCCTGAGGATTTAACCCTATCACCCTGAGAAGGCTAAATATAGTCCCTTCCGGTTGTGACATGGCCCTGTAAATGCCAGTACACTGCCATTTCTGCAGTAGCTTGTTCTCCTCAAACAGTGTTGTTAAATGCCACTGGTTCTATGAGTAGTGTTCAGGAGGCTTGATGAGAGTATATCAAGTAAATATAGCATTTAGAGGTTTTTCCTGGTTAATCCACTAGCTTTTTTTAAAGCTTGGTTGACTGAAAATCTCCTTTTTAAGCCTCAGTGAAGCAGTCATCCATTACATATGTGTTTTAAATCCCAGCAAATGCATTAAAATCAATGCTTCACTCTGGTCTTGTTTACTGACAACCCTCTTTATATACCTTTATAAATTTCAAAATATTTTTCTTTCTAAACGTAGATAAATAATTTTGTTAAATTTGACCAACAATAGACTGCACAATTTATTGCCTGACATTTTCACGGTATCAGGTGCATACTACAGTAATAATTACATAAATGAAGCAAACAAGTTAATCCTTTATAACTAAGTACAAAGTCAAACTACGTTGGACTGTTACTAAATTTGTACTTCAGTTATAAAGGATTCCCTTATTTGCTTCATTTATGTAATTATTACTGTAGTATGCACCTGACGAGATGCAGCAAAATATGCCGGGCAATAGACTGTGTAATCTATTGTTTGTGTCTTCTTTATTACAATTTTTTTATACCTCTGGAAAAATAGCTATTTTCTTAAATTTGTGTTTTTTTTTTACCACTGATTTATGACCCATTTTTAAAGCATTTTTGGGGTGAAAGAGTTAAGGCTTGATGGCTAGTGCAGTTGTACTGAGACGTGAGAAACCAACAGTCTGCATACAAATAAGCCAGGTCTGTAAAATGAACCTGCATTCAAAATTCAAGTTCTTGAACAAGGTCAAAACCCAGAAATGGACCAACAACCAGAATTTTCCACCAGAGTGTACAGCTGGTGAATGTTAAGAAGAAAGAAGAAGAATTATGACATCACATCAACTGATGCTGAGAGTGAATGTATTGGATTACTAAACTTAAAGCCAGGAAGATCGACTTTCCTGCATCAGGTTTTCTCATACGGCTCCCTTCCTACAGTTTGCAGAAGGACTAGCTATTCTACAAAAAGTGCTATATAAGACACAAACTCTATAGCTCCAGCAACAATCACTAGTGATCTCAGTAAAAACTGCACTCGTGTGTGTTACTAGTATTTGTTTCTGTTGATTCACATTCAAAAAGTTTGTTTTTTTTTAAGTCAATGGTCCCAATATTCAAGGCTGTATTCCTGGATATGAGGAAAAAAAACAACTGTTATAGCGAAACAATTACCTCCTTCTCTTGATGGCCCCTGACAGTAACTGTTTCTGTGAACTCCTGGTTGTGGCAGATCCAGCCTGGGCTGGTAGTGCTGCTGCTCCATCTGCAGACGTTAACTTCTCCTTGGCTTTGTCCTGCACTTTCAGCACTGATGCATTGTGGGCCGGTTAAGAATTAAGAACTATCATCATTTTATCAAAAATATCATTACACGTTTGTGAGCAGTCGAAAGACCCGAGGTTATCCAGTCTATCCTTAATATTTAAATAATGAGGACACCAACAATACACGGCACAATTGATTACCAGACATATTTCGCTGTATCTCCTCCGGTGCGTTACTGCAGAGTTACATCAGCATAAAATGAAGCCCGAAAACTGAATAAATCCAACTGAAATGTAAATAGTCTCTTTCGAGACTTTTATTATTATTAACATCATTAATATTTTCAATAAACACTAACAAGACCAACAGATGTGCAGCTTGTGGCTTAGAGCCCTGAAAAATGCACAAATTAACGGGTTAATGAGTTAGTAAATGGCTTCAACAATGAAATGATCCTCGAATACTGGGGGTTTCGGCAGTAGACAGTTTTAAAAACAAAGCAATCTCATAGTTTTTGGACAGTAGTACAAAAACCACATAGTAGAAGAGACTGGGCCTACTCATGTATATACCAAAAGACAGCAACCAGGTCACTGTAGTCAGCTTTCATTGTGGAGACGACTAATAGTTTTATTTAGATTTAGTGTAAGATCTATCATTACCCTTTTACCCAGTTAACGCTTAAAAAAAAAAGGGCCATAACCCTGGTTTGCCTCTTCTCCTCTAATCAGCCCCATAGTATTAATTGTTTTTGAGAAGCTGTTGAATCTTATTACATGTCTGTAGTATTGATTTTTCTCTTATTTTCTTTTCCACTGTAGTTTAAAAAAGATCCATATATGCCAAGGTCTTGGGTAATTATATGGTGAGCCTGGCCATTCGTGATGTGGTCTCTGCGTGAAATGCCAGGAATTTATTTGAACGATCTCACTTCCAATACTTGTACCTTCTTTTTGAGTTTAGCTGTTAAGATCCACCTTTCACAGCCATTTGTAAACGTACTAATAACTAGTGCTCTGAGAAGCTGAAGATTAGTTTGAAATGAAATGTCAGTATTTAACTAAAACAATTTCACACAAAAAAAAGTTGTGATAATAATTGACTGTCTAAACAAGGATATTTTCAACTCTTCCAGCATTGCTTTTTCCTCCCTGTTACGATCCTTCTCAATCTGTATCTGTCGCTGAGACACAAAATCAAGGAACTTGACTTCGTCCTCATCAAGACCTTTTACACTGCTCCCTGTAAGAACACAAGCAGTCATGATCACTTTACTACTGTAAGAACACAAACAGTCATGATCACTTTACTACTGTAAGAACACAAACAGTCATGATCACTTTACTACTGTAAGAACACAAACAGTCATGATCACTTTACTATTGTGAGAACACAAACAGTCATGATCACTTTACTTTTGTAAGAAGACAAGCAGTCATGATAACTTTACAATTGTAAGAACACAAGCAGTCATGATCACTTTACTACTGTAAGAACACAAACAGTCATGATCACTTTACTACTGTAAGAGCACAAACAGTCATGATCACTTTACTATTGTGAGAACACAAACAGTCATGATCACTTTACTACTGTAAGAACAAACAGCCATGATCACTTTACTACTGTAAGAACAAACAGCCATGATCACTTTACTACTGTAAGAACACAAACAGTCATGATCACTTTACTACTGTAAGAACACAAACAGTCATGATCACTTTACTACTGTAAGAACACAAACAGCCATGATCACTTTACTACTGTAAGAACACAAACAGTCATGATCACTTTACTACTGTAAGAACACAAACAGTCATGATCACTTTACTACTGTAAGAACACAAACAGCCATGATCACTTTACTACTGTAAGAACACAAACAGTCATGATCACTTTACTCAGTGACAATTTGCTTACTGTAAAAAACAGCTAATAACTAATGATTTTATGAACAATTCATTTAATGTTGAAGTAGGCACAGGATTTGTGTCATTCAACATGGCTCAGGCTCTTTCTGCAGAAAAGCAAGCAACGTGTCAAGAGTGTCACATAAAGCATAAACCCCAAAGCTCTTGCAACGATCCTTAGGGATCTCTGTAAAAACTGCATGTGACCTGAAAAATGCAACTGAAAAAAAAAAAAACCACGCCCTTTGGAGCGTGAAGCAAGTGGCTTGACCACTCCATCATAGCATCAGCAACTATGGTCAAACTGCATGATAGTGGTACTGACTTGTACACAATCAGAAACACTATGGCATACTCCTTTCGAACACGGAGTAAGTAAAGTAAAGGACCTTTTTCTACACCTTCAGGCAACTGTCAGCTCACAGGCCAAATCTGGCCCGTGGAAGCCTAACAATTGGCTCGCGGACCTCTGCCAATGGAACTGTAATAATAACTTTTCTATGCTGGGGCTCAGACCTCAGGTCTTTGATAATCCTCTTTTTCACAATTTTGGCCCATGAGTAAACTTAGCTGAACAGCCCTGAGATAGGGCTAGAGCTTTATTCTGTAGATCAATCGGCACTCCTTGGATGATATGGATAATATAACGCTGGCCGCTTTTACTTCCTGGGACTTTACCTGCTACCCCTTTAAGGCTGTGTTGACCTGGCATCCTATTTTTTTTTTTTAAAGAGTCTGGTTCCTCCCTGAGTAGTGGATCATATATCTAGCTTTCTCAGATGAGAGTACTGCAAATGTTAAAACATACTCGGCAGTTGAAAATAAAAAAAAAATAACTGGCCAGAGAGACTTATCTCCAGACAGTATTAAAGCTATTCAATTTGCTACAAATCAAAACCTTAAAGGTGCGAAATAAATTATAGTAACCTTGCTGCTGTCTTGTAACCTGTCAATATTATTGTTACAGACATCAAGGGTGATAAGCACATGACGTCACGTTGCAGACAAATGTGATGATGTCATAACGAAAGTTTAAAGATGGCCGCCCCACTTTTGACATGCACCAAGCAGGAAAAGCGCTGTTATTCATTCTTTTTTAAATCACTGAAAGGATGTAACCTATAGAACATAATAGTATAACATAGAACTTGACCCGTTAGGGTCGAGCAGGTGAATCGGTGGGAGCACTAGAACTCAAAACCCGCCATCTTTCTCTGTCTTCCGCTTGATGAATAAATGTATGATAACTTAGTCCTGTCCACTTCTTGATGTTGTTATTCCAAGTTCTTCTTTGCCCTCATATTCCTCAACTACCCTCCCCCCACTGTTTTTTGTAGTACAGTCTTTGCAATTGACTCAAGTCTCACCACATGGCCAAACCAAGCTAGCTTGCAACTTTTCACCAAGAAAGGCTCCTGATGTCCTGCAAATTTATATATTTTGTCTGCGACATATTTGTTAATTTTGTGTTCTAAATAATTAATTTGTAAAAACGCGTCTGTAACATTCACATTCAAACACTTGAATCCTCTTTTCCATTTCCCCAGTGAGAGTCCAACTCTCACATCCGTAAAAGAAAATAGACCATAACCAGTGATCTGTATATATTGACATTAACTGGGATGCTGATTTTGCTCTTCCACATCGTATTCAGCTGGGACATCGTGGCTGTTGCCACATCAATCCTTGTCTTGATCTCTCTAGTACAGCTGCCAATGTTGCATACAGAAGCTTATCGGCAAATCAAAGTCCAGTGTGGTGATGCATGCTTATCAGTCCAGCAAGTGTATGAGTGAAGCAGGAGGTTTCAAAACACTGTTACTTTTTTGATAGACTGTTTACAACCCAGTCAGGCACACAGAGTAGTGACCCCCAGAGTTGCTGCAGCCGTTTTGAAACTTCCTACTCCACTTTCTTGGAGTACAAAACAATGGAGACCTCATCATGCCCAAAACATCTCTTCTTCTTCTTTACGTCCTCTTTTACCCCTTCGGATGATAAGGGAGGTATAAAGTCCTGCTTCATGCTCTTCTGGCTGCTTCGACCATAGACACATCATGGTGCTGTAGAGTTTCTCTGATGTTATCTTCCTATCTTGTTCTTGGTCTACCTCTTGCTCCCTCACATCTTGCCTTGCCTTGTATGGTATAGCATCAGAAGGCATTCTCTCCAAGTGGGCAAACCATTTAAATTGCTGTCTTTGTATTTAATTTAAAATTGGTTCTGTGCCGACTTTATCTTGTATGACCTAATTCCTGATTTTTATCTCTTCTGGTCACTCCTACAGTCTTTCTCAGACACCTCATTTCCATGATTACACTTCAAGGTGTGGAAATGGGACCTTTACTGTGGATGTAAGAATTACAAACATAACTTACGGAGTTTGGTTTCTTCCTCGAGCTCTCTTTCTTGATACTCCTTGTTAGCCTGCAGCTGTTCAAACAGAGATCTGGTCTCTGCTTCTGGGCATTCTAATTGATTTTAGTAAACGAAGAAACAATTATTGAAATGTAAAACAGAAACTTCGCTGTGTGGGTTTCTGGGCCCCCTGTGTGGGTTTCTGGGCCCCCTGTGTGGGTGGGGCCCTTGTGTGGGAAAAACAAGAATAGACCCCCTACGTCTACAACAAGCATGTCGTCGGAGTCGACTAACTGGGGGCTTCCTTTGAAGTTGAGAGGTTGTCTGAGAGGTAAAAAACCAACAGTCTGTAAACAACTAAGCCAGATCTGTAAAACAGATATGCATGCAGCAATCACTGTCTGGAACAAGACTAAAGTCCAGAGGTGAACGACAACCAGAACTTTCTGCTAGAATTTACAGCTGGTGAATGCAAAGAAGAAATGAAAACGAGATCTCAGAGCTTCAGAAAAAAATGAACTTATAATTCTTTTTCTGATTTTGCTCTTAGAAGGGTTGTCGGCAGGTAGTATCTACGTCTTTTGACCCAAGACATCCAATGTTAGCAAAATTCTAGTCACTTTTACAACAAGCTTATTAGTGTGGAGTAAGTCTATTCATTTTTTTCTCCTCTTTCTTTCTCTCTCTCCGAAATAGGGTTACAGAACAGTCTTCAGTTTATAAGATAAAAGAAAAAAAGTAGTTACAGAATAAACTGAAATGATAAGAAAGCGACAAGAACTTTAAAAGCTTTGCCTGGATCTGGGCTCTTTCACCGTCGATACAATACTAGGTTCACACTAGTTCTGTTTCCTAAAAGGGCCAGTCTGTGAAAAATAGGTCATATTTCTAACTGAATCTAATCATTTAACTTGTATTTTAAACTTATTTTATTTTAGTATTTCTCCTCTTTTTATGTGTGACAGGTTCAATGGGTTAAAGTCACATCATTTCATGGTTAAAATTGATATTCTATCATTGGACAAGGTCACTATTTAGCTATCAAATACAGAAAGAAAAAACATTTGACCAATTTAAGAACTGTGATTTGTCAGCTAAACTGTGACGTTTTGTAATGATAGAATATAAATTTTAACCAACAAAAGTTGTGACATTAACCCTTTGACCCTGTTGTGATTCTGAAAGTTTGATTTCTTTTCTACGCAACTAACTCAATTACAACTTTTAAATAATACCATAATTTGACAACAGTGTGGGTTTCCTAATTGGTTTTAACTCAAGAAACACCTGCTTCTGCATTTGGCCTTAAAATGGAGGTTGGATGCTGTTCTGTAATTTACAATAAAGGGTACTTTGTTTCTAGTTCACCCCAAACAAATGAAATTCAGGAGTTCCTGGAAAAGTCCAATAAATTAGGCGTAAGTTATGGGTTGAGATTAAAGTTAGTCTGCGTCCCTGAGGCAATCCTAACATAACCCCAACCCACATCTAGCATTCTGGACTTTCTCGGGAACTCTTGGATTTCCTTTGGGATGAATTAAAAGTACCCAATGAGACTGAATGCTTGCCTTTCGACCCAAAACATCTGACTTCAACAAATTTTAAATTAATTTTATGATAGGCTTGTTGCGGAACAGTATGTCTATCCCCCTCCCCCACCAAGAAAACTGGGAATCTCACGAAAAAATAATTTAAGTTTTGTAACAGGGACATAAGAAAAATGCAACAAACTTGATTTTGTTTAGACAGTTACACTCCAAAAACATCATACCTATCGGGTCATCTGGTTTTCTTACTCTATCCCATTCTTCTTGCCTCTTCTGCCGCTCTTCTTGCACCTGTTCCTCAGACACAAAAGCTTTGAACTGTCCGCTCATTTCTAAAGATGAGTTGTGTTTCAGACTTTAGGGGCAACTACAAGATGATCCACAACACAACAGCTACCTTTCCTGTTCAAAGCAAATTTAGAACTTAGATATTTGAATCATATTTCATGATTGACAAAGAATGCCAGACTTAAATCTGTATACACCAATCAGCTCTAGGCTGTTATGTGGTCAACATCATGCAAGCCATCTTTACTTCCCAGGACATTACCTAGTACAATCCTCATTCTTAGGCTGGGTCGACATGAGAGCCAAGGTCAAATTTGAAACAATTTCGCCTCAATGTGGATTTGAACCCAAGACCTGACCAGCAGGCAAGTTTCCAGCCACTACACTACCGCAGTTCCCAGGTACGTATATATTATACAGAAAGTAAAAACTAAAATGTGAACTAAACATTACTAGATACATTCTTCCTGTGTGGGATCTGAGGCCCCATTTTTGGCAATAGACCCACTGCCCACCCACCAAGGCTGTGTGTGATATCTGCCTTTCAGCCCAAAGCTTCTGATGCTGACATATCCTGAATTTGTCACCTAACTCAACATGCTTGTTAAACCCACTTCTTCTTCTTCGCGTTCACCGGCTGTAAACTCTAGCGGAAAGTTCTGGTTGTTCGTCCATTTCTAGACTCTAGTCCTGTTTCAGAAACTGAGTGCTGCGTGCACATTTTCACAGGTCTCACTCATTTGCATGCAGACTGTTGGTGCCTTTCCTCTCAGGCAGATGTACTCCAACTTCAAAGACTGCTACCATTTAGTCGACTATTACAACATGCTTTTGCGCAGGCAGTGAGTCTATTCTTGTTTTTAACCTACTGACTACCAAGCCCGTTAACCCTTGCACTTTCCCAGACACCACATATTTTAGTGTCTACTAAAAATGCCACAGCTTCACAACTAATTCACATAATCTCATATTTTGTATTTTTGCAAGAAAAAAAAATGTAGAAATAATTTACAGAATAAAAACTGCATAATCTTGTTTGACACTATCATTGGTGAACAAAAAAATGCAACCGACAATCTTTTTTTCTGACAGGCAATATAGATTAACAAAAATGCCGTAGCTTAACAACCAGTTAATATAAACTCACATTTTTTATTTTTGCGTAAAATTGAATGGAAAACAATCTACAAAAACAAAAAATTTTGTAATCTTGTTGTACATCATCATAATGTGGCTGTAGATTGGTGTAAAAAAAAGATAGGCGAATTTCTTGGTTTTTGTTTTGTTTTTGTTACAGCAATATAGACTTAACAAAAATACCACAGCTGTGCAACTATATAACATCGACTTATAATATTTTGCATTTTTGCACCAAATTGAATAGAGAACAAATTACTACTATATTTTTTTTTTTTAAACTGTCATCTTGTTTTACATTACCATCATGTGGTTGCAGTGCACTGATGCAAAAAAGGCAACTGAAAAATCTTCTGACGCCAATATACATTGTTTTCCTGGATGAGAGCTCTGCCCAACTTAAATAAAATTCTGCAAATTCATTGGCTGTTTGCCACTTTGCACCAAGAACTTCTGTTACAGTACGACTGAACTGTCAAACTAAAAAAGCCACACAAATGATCTTTTCCCACAACTCGCATCGCTGGAATGTCACCAAGGTAAAAGTCTAGGATTGCACTGTGAAACAATCTTCACTAAACTTTAAGGCCCTGGCTGTTTTGTGTGTAAATAGACGGTACGAAATACATTAGTGTTTTAAATTTCATAATATATCAAAGTTGTTCTATTTGTGTTTAAAAAATTTACTATTTAATTTTGGGCTTAAAAAAAGGGGATGTTTGGTTGTCTTATGCAATACATGGGGCCGTCTTATTATTTTTGTAGTCACACTTTAGTTTTACTTGACTTTACTGTTATTGCTGTCTAGCTAAAACAAAATTCATTCAGCGAAAGAGTGTTTTTTTTTAAAGGTATGAAGACTTGAATGTACAGATAATATATCACGCTTTATCACATATAGATTTAGATTTAGTCTCTCTGCTGTTACACTGAGTATTTGAGTATTTCGCACACAAAGTTTGAAATCTGCAAAGAATAAGACCTTCAAGTGATCTCACCAGTGATACTAGTATGTCTTTAAAAAGGCAACATTTTTAGTTAGAGCATGTGGCCCTGATAAATAGTATAGTTGCTAAGGGGTTCAAAGAAAAACAAGACATAACACATAAAACATCTACGTTTTATCACTTTAGGTCCAATTTTCACTAGGGAACATGCCACCATCTTGTTTATGGCATTTTCCATTACAATTTTTCAGGGTATTTTCTGTCACTGAAATACGAATATCACCGCTTAGAACTGACATACAGACTTCACTGAGGTATCATTGGACTCTGTTTTTTAACCTATGTCCAGCTGTTATGATTTAAAAAAGATATATCTTTACTTAATATATAAAATTTCACTAAAACTACTTAGGATAATAAATAATAGATAATACTATTAATACTCCTGCATTAGCTCTTAGCAAATACTAAATACCAAATTAAAATCTTGGGCTCTCCTCCAAACTTCTACCCCCGCATTATGGCGGCAACATATATCCTTACGGGGCTCAGCCCTATTAAAAATATGCAGACTTCAGGCGACAAACGAATCGCGGTAAAACTAGGATCGGCTCTGTATAATGAAACAAATGCTCTAACAGGGTTTTAGCGATATGTTACTTGCGGACCTGTTTATGTGACTATGCCTCACCGCCGACTGTATCCCCCACGCCGCTACGCATAGCTCGGATGAGGCTACACTAGATGGTTGGGACTCATAAGCAGCAGCTACCACATCTCCTGCAACTTCCTCCAATTAATTTGCTCATGAGTCCCAGGCACCTAGTTTAGCCCCCACCCCCCCCCTCCCCCCCATAAAGTTTGAGAACAACAACAACGCTAATCTGCGTCGGCGCACGTGGTCTCCCCGCCATGTCGCTGTTATCGTCAGTAATGTTGCGTTTTCTCAAAATTGTCAATGGTCGCTATTATCGTCTGTAGAAACACTCGAAAGTTTCAAAGGCCGCTATTATCGTCTGCAGTGTTGCATCTCTTGAAATTGCCAGGTAATCCTAGTTTTGCTGCGATTCGTTCGTCGCCAGAAGTTCGCCTATTTTTCCTAGGACTGAGCCGAAAGTAAACCCTAACAGAGCCTCACTGATATCTAGAATTTGTATATTTTTTGCGACGAATCAACCCCGTCAAAAGTAGAATTAATTGCGCACAACATTTTCGCGAAGCTCAACGGATGTTTTTACGACGATTAAATGGTGGCAAAACTAGGATTAACTACGGACGACAAATTAGCGACACGCAAGAATACTCATGATAGCGCTATCCTATGCACGGCGTGGAAGGGGCTAAACTAGATGGTTAGAACTTACGAGCAGCAGCTACCGCAGCTCCTGCAGCTTCCTTTAATGTATTTGCTAGTGAGTCCTAGCCATCTAGTTTAGCCTCGGAGGTGGCACTATAGTCGCCGGAAAAAAAGTCTACAATTTACAGGAGCTACTTCTTCTGTCGGAAGTAGCAGCGTGGTCGCATTTGCCACGGTCAAGAGGTGTCGGGATAGTGGAGCGTCATCGTGGCGGCTGCTGGTTTGAAGTTGTCCCGAGGCGACATGCGCGTACATTAAACCGCGTATTACTGATCATGTCTCACCCGGAACGAGAATTGCGGACAAGCCGTGCTGAGTTGCAATGGCGGACAGTGAGAAAGAACAGATATTCGCGCACTATTTGCAACTTCTGTGCCACAATTTTCACATATAAAGGATTTAATTTTGGGTAAGTAGTAGACTTTGCCCTTTTCCTTACACTTTTCGTTCCTTATTTTTTCCGAGCTACACCTTTTAAATGTTTGTAGGGTAGGACGTAATGAGGCTCCTTTTGGGTTCACTTTCTGCATAGTAGATCATTTGGGACCGTTATTCGGAGGAGAGCCAATCTATCTAATAAATACTAAACACTAAATGAATGTAAGTAAGTAATTGGCTCTACTGGCAAATCCGGACGAAGAATAAACAGCCGTGGACGACTTAGTCAGAGTTCTCTCCCTTGGCCGCACTCCAATCAGTGATCGGAAAACAAACGACACACTTAGCTATCATCCTGCGGTTGCGTGCAGGGTTGCGGACGGTTGCGTGAGGCATTGTGAATGGTTGTGTAGTCATCATCATGCGGTTGTTGGTTGGATTAGAGTTAGGGGTAGGGTTAGGGGTTAGGGGTAGGGTTAGGGTTAGATGTGAAAATTTTGACGTAGGATTTCGAAATACTGGCCGACAATATGATGTTTGTGGGAGTGGCGCCACGGAAACTCTGCCAAATATGACGCCAATAGCGTGCGGCTGGTGCCCCCAATCGTTGGCCAATTGTGCGTTTGACCAGCATCCAGAGGCCCTCGATTGTTTGTGTGTGTGTGTGTATGGGACTGTGCGCGATTATAGGGAACTCCGGCGTCAAAATTGTCAAATCTAACGCTAAACCTAACCCTACCGCTAACCCTAATCCTACTCCCTAACCCCTACCCCCTAACCACGCAAATTTATCGATCAATAAAGCATACACTTCGGCAAACACCAACAAACAAAACACACCCAACCACAAAAACACCCAGAATTGTCCTGCAGCGTCGAAAAAAAACCCAGATCTGGGGGAAACAACCAAGCATTGGCAGCCCTGATGTCGACGTGACTGTCTTCTTTGTTTCGTTGTGGCTTTTCCGATCACTGTTTGGAGTGCGGCCACGGGAGAGAACTCTGACTAAGTCGTCCAAGGCTGTTTATTCTTCGTCCGGATTTGACAGTAGAGCCAAGTAATTAAACTATGAGTTTTCGGCGCGAGTTTTCTGCTATTATTAGGTAGACTGGCGACATAATAAATGAAAGAAAAATGCAATAAATATATCATATATAAATATAATAACACATTTAATTGGATATAATTTACAATAATTAAAATCTTGAGGAGTGTGTTCAGT